TTATTTAGTATCATGATATGTAATATCTGATTAATGAGAAATAGCATAATTATACTTAGACAAAGATAATCAGAAAATATATAAGCCTAAATAGGTAATTGGATTTTATTGTCGAGACCAATATGGGAAAATTCGAAGTCATGTCAAATTTTTAAAAATTCAGTCTCTCCTTTTAAAGATAAGATTTTTAATGTTGATTGAAGCTCTTTGGCAAGATCACCCATATAATGAAAAGTATTGTATAAATATTGAAGATGATTATCACGTATAATATTATCAAAGATAGAGAATTTTTCTCATATACTATATTGCATAGCAAGTGCATCACGTTATACTTGAGTCTGAACGCTCCTTATGGTAAAAAATTACAATATGATTTTGTGATGGTAATGATTATGTCTCACAGTGTCAAAACTAACATTATCTAATTTGCTATAATAAATCATACAGTTATAGTATCCATGATGTGCATTGTGAAAGTTACTAGTAATGATACCTAATCTACCAATAACCTATACATTTTGATTACTGATTTTCAATTTGTATTCACATTTGAGGTCTTGAATATTATTAATAAGTGGTTGAAGTATTTCATTACTCGTTACTGCAAATAGGATAAAATCAAGAAGAAAGTGATTTTTAAGCTTTTAATGAAGCATTTGTTTCATATTACTGATTTGTAAGTAGAGACCACTGATGGTGTGATATGCAATACAAAACAGACTGAATTTATTGATATAAATATCAAGAAAAAATTTGAATATTGACAAATTATGCAGATGATCCTAAATCGTGATATATTCAATAAGATGAAGATATCATAAATCAATCAATCTCATAATTTACTGCATATTTATACAATACACAATTTCAGATATAATATATTTATCATTATTAGGCTTGTTAACATCAATTACAAATATTAACTTTAGACTTAATCTTTGTAGGATTTATGACAAGTGTTTTTATCAGTCATTTACAGATATCCTTTATGAGAAGCAATTCTTCTTTTTGGGATTTGAGCATATGAGGCAATGAATTAAATTCAAGAATACATTCAATCTTGATACATCTATCTTAAGATTTATTAATACGTAAGATTGATATAATTCGCTCATAACATATTCATTGGCTTGTATCGTATATATGATAAAATTACTAAGACTATATATTATTATTTTCATATTAACAATATAATTAATGAATAAATTAGTATAACAGCATATAGATTTTAAATTAAAAAAAATAATATTATATTTACCTTCATTTAGTTTTATATATACACTACTGAATAATGAGGATTTGTATCAGAGATCTCTGTACTATAATTCATGTTTATTCTTATAGTACACACCTGAACTAAAGTATATATTCTCAAGTAATAATGGATTTGCTAATATATGATGAAGAATGTCCTTTAAAAAAAAAATTTAAAGCATTACTGGTAGGTTTAAAAGTATTGCGATTGTTGAGGGTGACTTTGTGACCTTTAAATAGAAGAAATGGTAAGCCATCATGATACTTTTTAATAATTATAAGCAAATATGAAACATTTTGATGATATTTGCAAAGTCTTTATATGCTTCAAAGCCTATTTGATGTTTTGTAATCCATAAAAATATTAGAAATTTAGTAAGATTTGGAAAATATGATCTAGTATTTCCAGTGTAATGATTATGTTTCTTATTGCTATCATACTCTCTTCTAATAGACTCTTTATCAGTATCTTGATTATCGCTAGAACTGTCATTATATGATTTATCATTTATAGAGGATTGGTAATCATTTGGAGAGAAATCATCATTTAGGTATATCTGTGATGATGAAGTTCACTTTTCTTCAAATATATAGTTTATAGTTTTAACTTTAGTATTTGTAAAAGAAGAGGTTATATCACCTAAAATAATACTATCGAGTTTTAGGTTTGTAGAACTTTTTATACAAGTGCATTTAGATTTACGCAAACAAAAATCAGATTCTTGATATTGTTTGCAATCAGCTCTAGTCTGCTTTAGATTCATATTAAAAATTTAAGAAAGAAGTTTAGCGAACTTATTATTTTTTCTTGATATTGTTAGCTAAAAAACTTATATTTAGCGTTGATTATCATCACTAAATCGAGCTTAAATTCAGTTTAACTAAATTGAGCTTATAAAATTGGCTTGTATATCACAGGATGATCTACTAAGAATTGACGCCATATTACATAATTACATGTAATAATATATTGTCAACGGAAGAAATTGCAACTCCAAATATTATGTGGGATATGTCAATCAATAATAATCTCACATTAGATGATGTTACTGCTGTGCCAAACAGTGATCAGCAGTAATTTCTGTTTCTTCTATTACGTCTGTTCTTTCTGTATTTCCTATATAGTATATTTATCCTGTTTGTTCTGTTTTACCTGTAATTTCTTTAACGTCTGTAATTTATTTTATTTCTTATTATTATTTTTATAGTTTATGTTGTTTTTATTATTTTTATTATTTTATTATATTTAAGTATATTTTTATTAGAATATATATCTATATTTAGTTAATTTATAGCGTAGTAAGTAGTTAGCTGTAACAAATTCATTTTGTATAAATAGAATAGCTTTTTGCTTAAGTTGTAAATTAACTCAGTTGTAAGTTTATTAACTCTTTTACGAGTTTCAAGTTATAAATAAAGGAATCAATTTAAATCTACACAAACTACTTTTCCTTCAACGTTGTCCTTCACCTAGGATTGCTGTGATACACTACATTAACTTGCTATTGAGTTCATCATTACGAGTTTGACTAATATTTCTTAAATTCTAAGACGTGATAAATTGCTGAGTTGATTCAAGTATAACGGATACCTGTAGGACATAGAGAAAATCCTAAGGTTGGAAACTCCAACATGTAGAATCAGCTGCTGCAGCCTTTCAACTTAGACGTTAAGATAAATGAAAATGATCCCAGTGACAATATATATATATATAGTACATTTTTTAACTTTATTTTTTTTTTTAATTTTATTTTTTTTTCTTATTTTTTTTTCTTTTAATATGCCTTATAAAAAAAATCTGTTCTAAAACATCCTAAAATGAGGGTTACTAAATTTAAACTTGATTTTAAAACTGGTAAAAACTCTTTAACTATATTTATAACAGTTTTAAAATTTAGCATAATTATTGAAGACGCTAATTTAGAGAATACAACTATCAAAGATATTAATTCGAAAGAAGTGTTTAAGCTAAAATCATAAACTCAGAAAAAGAATAGGTATATTGTAATGGTAAGAATGATTCAACAACCTATACAATAAGAGAATTAATGAATAGCGATAATTTACAGCAAAAAAGGATTTATGTGAACTTAGCGATCTTAACAATGATATTTTAAATACAGGTTTTTTTGATTCTTTAATTTTGCTAAATAAATATGTAAAACTGAATGATGGAAAAAGTATAATAATATTAGTTTATGTGGGTTTTGCAAATGATAATATAAATTAATATAACAGAACTTTATAGAATCCACTAAACAACATGACTAGGAATTACCTTTACGCAAATCCTCTATGTCTTAAGTAAAGCCATTATTTGTCAATATTTATGAATTAAAATTGATTGATAATACTAATAATACTACAACATGATCAGTTTCTTCTACGGATGAACAAAATATGGCATCTACAGCATATACTATACCACAATCAGTCTCTTCTATAAATGAACAAAATAAGGCATCTATGGCATATACAGCACTACAATCAATTTCTTTTACAGATGAACAAATTACAACATCTATAACATCTATCGATTGCATCAATTTTAATAATTTAGTACTAATATTTACTGCATTTGTTCAAGCGATGAAATCAGACACACTTTTACCAAATACAAGATATACATCATATATGCATCCACAATCTATTATGACTTCTGGTAAAATGATTACTTCATTTATGATAAATAATAATGCACTACTAATCAAATCCATAATAACACATCTCTAAATGAAAATAATATTATAATTAATAAAATATTTCTTCAATTATATATTCTTTAAGACTCAACTTGCATCCTTATTTATTAATAAATCAAAGGTTCTTTTTCTCTGTATTCGTAAGCTAACACTGAAACTGATCTTAGCACTAGTTAAGAAATGTGCAAGACATCTTGAAATTGCTGATATTAATACTAGTGATACAAAGAAGAAAGGTTGCGGATGGTTCTCAACATGAAGGATATAATTGTATGATAGATGTATCCAAATTGTACTTGATTTCTTAGATGGTTATAGGTAAATATTACTTTATTATATTCTTTTAATTTTTTTTTAAATACATATTATTAACCGTGATTATATAATTATACGATATATCATTAAAAAATCTTTCAAATTTGTCTCATCTTCGAAATTTTGTGAGTACAAATGATATCACCAATATTTTTGAGCCACAATTAAAGCAAGTTAAAAGGGATTATTTATTCAAAAACAAATCGTCTTAGAATTTTCTAAAAGAATATATTGTTGAAGTCACATTAAACATGATCTGTTTATTTGTGCATAAAAATGTTGAGTATGTGATTTACAATAATACTACGAAAGTCTAACGAGCTGATTGATTTACATGCTCTTGATCGTATTACAGTTGATATACATATTATTTCTAAGAGTAGAACGATATTAGCACAAAATATAAATATTCGTAATTATGTAACCTTGTAAATTCAATTTCACAGTATAGTTAGTTTTCTATGATATGCTTTAGTAATTATGCAAAATGTAACAATTCAAAAATGTAATTATTGCAAATATTGTTTCAATTTATTATCTTAATTTGATTTTATTATTAATAATGTAACTGTTGCAATATTCTTAATATTCATTGTGTCATAGTACTCATAAAAGATTACAATATATATAAAAACAAATTCAAGCTTTACAAAATAATGTTAATATTACAAAAATATTACAAAGGTATTATAAAAGCATATAAAAAAAAATGGGTTTTTTAGCTAAGTATTATAGAAAATCAGCAATTCCATCTGGATGATGTCCTAAGATCATTTTGTAATAAACAAAAAGTAAAGTTTTAATAAATTCTAATATAATTTAAGATTGGTTTAGTTAGATTAGTGTTAATTTGGTTAAAATCAGATTAGGATGATTAGTTTTAGAAATATTAGGTTAAATTGAATTAAATTATGTTAGAATAAAGTTTGGATTATAATTTAACTATGATT